AAATGGAAAAGTCAGCCATCTATTAATTATCATGTTAATTACTGTGAGCCTTTAGCCCCAACAGCAGGGGGCTAAAATACCATACTTTTACATACTCTTTCCTTATTTAAAAACTGTTGCTTTAATTATCTTAAACAAAACTGACAATCATAAAGAAGACCTTTGTCTCAAAATACATGCATTAATTTTAGCGATTCTCGTTTGCTACTTAAATCTACAACATTTAAAAAAACATAAAATATTAGATCAAGTGAGCACAGAATAATGTTTGCGCTGCTGCGCGCGATCGCAGATCAGACAAATATACAGGTGCATCTTGAAAAGCGGATGTTTTGGAAAGTGCTACGCGACGTTTCTGTGCCTTCTAGTGGTTTAGAGGAAAATAATATCAAAAGCGCCTTCAGCCCCGTTGCACCCTATTTATATATATTTTTTCACCCTCAGATTCCAGATTTTCAAATAGTTGTATCTCAGCCAAATATTGTCCTATCATAACAAACCATACATCAATGGAAAGCTTATTTATTCAGCTTTCAGGTGATGTATACATCTCAATTTAAAAAAACTGACCCTTATGACTGGTTTTGTGGTCCAGGGTCACACACACGCAACATTTACACTTATTCCAAACAAATAGTGCGTTAACTATCTGTTCTGTTTCTCAAAACAAATACAACTACTAAAAAGTGTCCTGATTTTCAAACGCAACACTACAGTGCTAGTGTTACACCACCGCAGTGTTCTTTAAAGTATTTCCCTCGCGGGGTTAAAGAGTCAGCTGTGCGGCTGTGAGAGACTCAGCTAACAGCGGGCTTCCTCGGGTAAAGGCTGAGGTGTTCACCGCGGAGTGACAGTGAGGATGTGTGCTGTAGAGGAGTGAATAAAGCGGACTCACGGAGTGCTTCGGTCGCTGTATTCATTGGCCACAGTCTCGATTCCTCCGGCTCGAGCTACCGCTACATAGCAGCTCAGAAAACCCACGTCAAAACCCACCACTGACATCTTAAAAACAACGAGATCACGCAAATACACGAAGCCCGAGTCCAAATGTGGATTAGATGGTCGATCTGTGAAACGTAAAGAGTAAATAAGACCGTTTTAATTCATTATTCTACTGTAACTTCAGGGAGGAATGAGGCTGCGGATGATAAACGCCGCTCGTGAGACAACAGGACCGCTTCCGGTTCAAGGCGGAGCTAAAAGGTCCAACACAGAAGTTCTATTCTGAATCTCTTTGAATTATAAGAAAGCTGCTAAAACAATCTTCGAAGTGAGGGTTACCTCCTGGTTATTCTTTGAAGTTGACATTCTTATGTGTACTTATTTATTTATGTTTACTATTTTTCTTAAGATGTTTATGTTAAGGTTTTATCTATTTGTTTTTCTCTTTATATTTATTATTTATGTAGGCTATTAATTCTTTTTGTAGAATATTACTGTGTTTTGTGTTCTGGTTGTGTATGTATTTTATTGCTTTGCATCAACCTGAGTCACATATTGCTCTTTTAAACAATATTTCTGTTGTACGTATCCCCTGTGAATGTTATGTGCTTTAAACAGATCTCTTTGAATTTCAGATTTTCCTGTTGGTTTTAATATTTTAATTTGAGATTAAAATAAGGTCTGTGTTTTTTTTAAACTCAAACATGATTTTTAAAGCCATTGTTTTTTGAAAGTTGCTATGTTGCTTGCTAACAAGTTGCTTATAAGGACTGATCTATAATGCACAATAATGTAGATCAATAATATAATATTAATATCAATAATATAGATCAGTGTTGTGGAAAGTTAATAATTAATAATAAATCATTAAAAAGTCAAATTAAAACAAGCCATTTTAAAATAACATCAACGTAAAACACAAAAAAAATTTAATATTTTATTTGTTTACCTGCATGTCGTGTGACCATTAAACACCGTCTGAGAACCATGAACAAATGGCATAAGCTAATTATTAAAATAGCCTATTAATGTTAAAATCTCAGAGGTAGTTCAGGTAAATATATTAGGCGAAAGAGGTTCAGATGACTAAAACAGTTTGGGAATGCCTGCATTAAGAAATAAGGTAAATTTGTGCATGTTAATGTGTTTGAAAGACAAACGCCTTCCATAGCAATACATGATGAAATAACCTACTAAATGATCATTCAAATAGAAATTAAGGTAATGTGTTCATCAGTAGTTGATGCAGTGTCGAAACACTTCTTAAACCTGTATGATTTTTGTAAATCCAGAGGCCAGATGCTGTGTATCCACCTGTGACTGATCTCTGTGTGAATGTCCACACACACACACACACACACACTCACAACCAAACAGTTGCTGGGCCCTCACTACTCACTAAAAAAAAACACTATTGGAGTCAGTTGGGACCAGAAACTGGTTACAATCATTCTTCCAAATATCTTCTTTTATGTTGAGGAGGAAAAGGAGGTTTCATAGAGGTTTAGAACAATTTGAGGGTAAGTATATGATGACAGTATCTTCATTTTTGGGTGAATATCCTTTTAAGATCTCATCATATAGGCTAAGGATCTCATATAGCCTAACACATGCTTTATCTTTAAATATCAACATTCATTTAAGACACAAATAACTGTGTTTACGAGGATACTCGCAAAGACGGGCATTTTGACACATAACTATGTGTATTTGACCGTTTAAGCACAAGGAGCGAAAGTTTAGTCAGTAATACGAGCAGGTGTATCAGGTAGAAACCGTTTTAACGCACGCATAAGAATGAATTCATTACCAGAATGAATTCTGCCCCGCCGCGTGATGTCCATGAACAGTATAAACCATTTGTTTTAAAACCTGCTTAACCCTTTAGGCGCCAGGGTTTTTTTGGGAAAATGCTGGATTTTGACATCAAGATTTCAAAAGCTTGTGGCTTGAAAGGGCTTAAAGATAGAGATCTAATGTAAATTAGAAAAATGTTGGGCATGACCGAAAGTTTATGTGGGGTGTAAATACAGGTGCATCTCAATAAATTAGAATGTCGTGGATCGGAGTTCTCCAGCGAGACTGTGATTATTAAAAATATATATATATATAGCCCGCAAATGATCTGTGAGCTGATTTCCAGCTACAAGGAGAAAAAGAGAAACAGATTATGCAGGAGGGAGATGCAGGGAACAGGGATTGGGTGTTCCGCAAAGAGAGTTGGAGGTAAATAATTTTGCAGTAACTGTAATGCTGATGTTGTGGCTGGTCAAGCAAATGTTTGTGCTTGTTTCTGTATGATATAATTCTTCATATATCTATTAAAATACTGATATTCTGGTCTATAACTCCTCCCCGAACTTCCCGCTGCCCTGTCCCCATGTTAAAATGCCCAACTTTACAGCAGAAAAAAGTATGTTTACAGCCTGGTACAAAAAATTATTTTGGTCTGTATAGCTAATTTTGCCCTTCATGACAACCTTTTTTATAACTCATCTGTTTAAATTATATTAAGCCTTAAAAGTTCTGCATAATTAAGGGCGTGGCCACTTGAGTGACAGGTGGATTGCCGCTGCTGTCACCACCGTCGAGCTAGGTGGGCGTGGTTTCAGCAACCAGCTCCCGCCTCTTTGCCCATTTTCGATTATCCGGGAGTGACGCGCAGCCAAGATGGCGACGGCCGGCTCCGCCCACTTTGAGCTTCAAAACCGCTCTTCAGAAACCTACGGGTGACGTCACGGACACTACGTCCATGTTTTTATACGGTCTATGGTTAACACCTGCTTCCCAAAGGAGGAGCCTTCTCGGATGATTACAGAATGGTGGAGGCTGTATCGGCGCTTCCGGTCTTAGTAGAGACATCTATAAAGCGCTGGAGGCCATAAGCGCATGCGTGCGCCTCACTAACGGGTTTGTACAAAGACACGTCCCGTGGAAGCTGGACCGGAACGATCCCGGAGAACTGCGGTGGCTTGATAGAGTGCCTCCGGGTGAATGGGATTCTCCTGCAACCTGTGGTGCCAGGGCTTGCCGAGAACATTTTATCCAGGTTGGGAGTCACGCCTAGGCCTGTCACGATAACAACTTTTTGTTGTGAGATATATTGCCCCAGAAATAATTGCGATAAGCGATATTATTGTCATTTTAAAGACTATTTTATGCCACTGAATATATAGTCATAATTTAACAGCATAATAATGCAAGAAGGCCTCCACACTTCCAAATGACAACAAACTTTTAATTCTTAAGAATATTTAGATCATGGAAATGAAGTATCAAAATATTAGATACCTTAAAAAACTTGAATAAATAGTAAATAAACATTTTCTAACAAAAAGTGCAAAGTAACAAGTAGAAAAAAAGAAAAATGCACAAAGAACTTGTATGGAGATTTTTCCCTGACCTTCTTTTCTCTGTAAATGAAGGGTGCACACTATTGCTGAAAAACACAATCACTACTCAGCAGTCAGATGTCCAGATGCACAAAGACAGACCTCTAAACAAGGCCATATCTGCAGATGAAACTTTGTTTGTAGAAGCTTTTTTTTAAATTTGAACGAGCACCTCATGACTACACCACGTTATGTAGGAGAAGCTGCTAAAGACACAGGCGCAAGTGGAATGTACAAAACATGGTGACATTAATGTTTAAGTAAATATAATGGGCGATATATTGCGTCACCAAAAATGATTGAGGTCGTGTACATATATTGCACGACAAGTCAATATATTGATTATTGCGACAGGCCTTGTCACGCCTGAGGAGAGAAGCTGGGTTTCTCTTAAAGGGGTCATATGATGCGATTTCAAGTTTTGCTTTCTCTTTGGAGTGTTACAAGATGAGACATGAAGGACGAGAGTGTGGGTTAGAAGGAAGAGCGCTGGTCTTGATTTGGGAGTGTTGTTTAGTCGTCTGGAGAGAAGAACGGTGAAACAGAAGACTCCCAAAAAGACGAGTCAAAATCGTAATGAATTCTTGAACCTTAGCATGATTTAATGCAGTAATCAAATATAACGATGCTGTTGGGGTTGCACAGAAACTGAAGCAGACAGTGATTTAAGGTCACACGCTATACAATGTACGACAAGGCATAAAAACTGACATGATTTTTTTAATGAGAAACACACGGAACTGAAAAATTGTACAAATTGAAATAAAATTAAAAAGGTTCCAATATTCTTATAATTTCCTGTACTTCTTTTTACATAAACTCTTCCATGGTTCACCTCGGAATGAATCCTCTATGACGGTCAGAAACACATGTCTACACGACTCTACTTCAGATTCTGTTCTTCTCTCAGAAAGCTCCGTGTAGCAGAGAATCCGCTAACGTGGACACAACTACTCTTTACCACTGGTGAAATGCATTCAGACGCTCTCAGAAATATGAGTTGGTGTTCTGTCCAGGTTGAGTACCTAGGGAAAGAAAAACGTCATTTCAATAAAGAAAAGGACAAATGTTTAAATATTGATGATTTGCATTCATAAAGAACAGCACTAAGAATGAAAACAATTAAATATAAAAAGTATGAATTTAGAACATACTAGGGTTGCCCCCAAACTAAAGATTTTTCTAGTCGACTGGTGGCTTAAACGACTACTAGTTGCATGTTTATATTAATTTGAATATTTACATATAGGGCCCTATGATTTCCACAATGCAGAAAACATGGACGGAATTGCAAAATCCAGTCATAAAAATAGATTTTTTTTGTATAATGCGAAATGTCACAGAATTTGCCAATTTTTGAATGAATAAATCGAATCAGAATGAGTCTGTGAACATTAAACCGCAAAAAAACTATTTAAATATGAATCCTGCATGTCTCTGAGTGAATTAATGGCACAGATTTTCTATTTAATTCAAGTGAGCTTCATTGGCATGACTTGCAAAGCATCGCCAAAACACTGACATATAATACACAAAGAAACGAGTCACTTCATAAGCATTTGATAGTTTCATTTCAGAAAAACTACTGTCATATCATATACTCACAGAAACTTAAAGGTCTTCTCGGCAACTCGTCATAATAAAAGTTAAGTTTAACTTGATAAAATTGTGACAGAAATATTTTACTTTTGTACAACAGAATGTATTTCTTAATACTACTACTGTAATACTACTACTAATAAGATGGTTATTAAAACTTTTTTTTTTTAAGGAATAATCACACAATTTTAACAGCACACCTGTTGTGCAGCACTTTGTTTGTCAAAAACTGGAAGGGTTTCATTTTCATTGGATTACAAGAAGAATTAAATGAATGTTTTATGCCTTCATTTGCTTACCAGGACAAACAAACTGTAAAATAAAACATTGCATAGAATAAATTGCTATTCAAAAAGTTTTATGATTTCAAGACAATAGCTTTTGATTTAAAAACTTAAATGTAACCATTGAAGTGAAATATATATATATATATATAAATAAATATGTATATAAAAAAAAAATAATTTGGGAAAAAAATAAAATGCATTTCATTTCATAGGGCCCTATATATACTTACGGAGCCTTTAATATATAGCCCATTTTGCACTCAAGCACACACATATGCAAATGTAATTACTGAATGTGTCGGAAAAAATAGCAAGCAGATATTTTAATTATTTATTAATAAACTAGTGTTGTCTGAGTCAGTGATGATGCTGACTTGCCATCTCCACAGTACAGTGACGCACATTTAAGAGAGAAATGCACCTTTCATATGGATTACATCATTTGTTTTCGATTTGAACTGCTTTGTTTAAAAGTAGACATTTCAGCTTTCTATATACATTTCTCATGTCTGTGAGGCAAGTAACCTATACACTGAGTTTCATTCATTTTGTGACACGCTCCAGTTGAGTTTTATTTTGCTGTTCATCCTGTTTGTTTACTTTACCAAAAGTTTTGTTGACATTGTGAGTGCATACATATAAAAGTAGAACCTTTACACTTTCAAGTGATGTATTACTCTGATCTGCATGAGCAAAAATGACAGCATTTTTCAAGTTGTCTCCACCAGAAAACAATGCCAGTGCAGTCGCACGTTAATAGCTTTCACTCAAACACTTGGATATGTGCCAGATAGCACACATTTATCTAGGTTAATGTTACAGTGAGCAGCTGAGTTAAGTTGCTATTAACATATTTCACTTACAAATGATAAGCCAAATTTGACTAACATTTAGTTGACTATTAGGGGACAGCCCTGCAAGATGTTGATATTGTCCAATCTCCTGCCATGAGCATTTGAACACTTATGGAGGTCAATGTATATTAGGGGTGTAACGGTACGCGTATCGTGTACCGAACGGTTCACAGGCAAATTCCAAATGGAAGTGACCATCCCTATCCCCTTGGAGTGGGGACTTTGGAGTGAGCAGGGCACGTGCGTGCCATTATGTAGTAGTTTGGAATGCACTTGGCAAAGGGAGCGACGTATTTCCTCATTATCTTCAGCTGGGATATTCCCGTGACAACGCAGCACGGTGATGCACATTCGCTGATGGACACCGGCATAAAAAAAATTAAAAAGTTTTATATATATTATTTTTTATATAGTATATAGCATATTTTAAAAACTTTTCAAAATATAAAATGTATGTTTATTTGCAACAGTTATGCTAACAACAATAAAAAGACATTTATGACAGTAAAACAGCGACATCTGCTGACGGACACCATGCTGCGTTGTCACGGGAACATCCCAGCTGAAGATAATGCTGAAATTACATCGCTCCGGATAGGGATGATCACTTCCATTTGGAATTTGCCCGTGAACCGTTCGGTGCACGATACGCGTACCGTTACACCCCTAATATACATTAAGCAAAAACACAACAGTGTGTCATGTCTGTTTGAAACGGAGTAATGTAAATATTGAAGCATACTTGAGAGCTGCTGCTGGAGCTGTCTGACCAGTGCTGCGGTCTGCTGCTGCTGCTGGGTCTGCTGCATGCCTTGCCGAGGGAACTGAGACAAAATACAGAAGAAAATATTCAGAATAGGGATGTCAACGATTAATCGATGATCGATTAATTGTCGATAAGAGATGCAATCGATTAGACATCCCTAATTCAGAATGTCCAAAAAGTAAAGCAATAAGCTACAGAAGCTTCTAGAACTGTTTTATAATGTCTATCTACTAGGGCTGTGACAATAAATCAATGCATCGTGAATCGAGAAATTATTCTGCATCAATTCAGAGATTTTCCAAATGCATGGCGATTCTTGAATTGATTCTGAGCTTAGTTTGTAACAGCAGATGGCACTGCGTGCTTTAGAAACAGCTGTACTCTGCTTGCTTACAATTCCTTGCACATGCACCACCTGAACCTAAATAATCATTCATACAGTTCAAAAAATGAAAATTCTGTCTAGATGAACGAAGGTCTTACGGGTTTGGAACGACACGAGGGTGAGTAATTAATGACAGAATTTTCATTTTTGGGTGAACTAACCTTTTAATCTCACGTCATAAAAGCTGAGGTGCAAGTACATAACCACTTACATGACTCAAGTACAAGCACAAGCACAAGCGCTCTTCTTCGTGAGCATTTAGGTGTGCATAGGGCTGGGCAAAAAAAATGGAATGCGATTTTCATGCGCATCTCGTCAGTAAAGCCGCTTCTGGTGATTAGTAGTAAATCTCCAGCACGTGCTTTCAGATGGAGCGGCATTTACTACACAGAGCCGTAGATCACTGACAAGCTACACAAAGATTTCACCAGAAGCGGCTTTACTGACGAGATGCGCATGAAAATCGCATTCCATTTTTTGCACAGCCCTAGGTGTGCAGTTAAAAACTAGCCTAGAGCGCCGTCTGCTGTTAAAAACTAAGCTCAGAATCGATCCCAGAGAGAATCGCAATGCATTCCGATAATCTCAGAATCGATCCACCAATCGCGATGCATCGATTTATTGTCCCAGCCCTACCATCTACCCATTTGTGTTTCAGTACATGGTGCATTTTAAAAGTACATGGTCTCACCATGGGCTGCATCCCCAGGGCCTGAGCGGGAGGCTGGGCTGCTGCCACCTGCTGCTGTTGAACCTGCTGCTGTTGAACCTGCTGCTGTTGAACCTGCTGCTGAGGCACCTGCTGCTGAGGCTGAACCTGCTGCTGCTGCTGCTGTTGCACTTGTTGCTGAACCTGCTGCTGCTGCACCTGCTGCTGTAAGACAAACACACAAATACAATAGCATTACAGGTGAATCGTTGAAATTTAGGCGTTACGTGAAATGTGCAGTATCCCACAATGTAGGGCTGGGCGATATGACCTAAAACCAAAACCTTGATTAATTGAACACTTTACCTTGATTACGATTATTGAACGATTTTTTGTTTATTTTTTTCGGTCCTCATAGTTCATTAAAGGTTTGTACTGTAAATATACTCAACTATTAAGGGTGGGATATTTTTTTCTAATGAAAGAGTGCATTTTTTATCTTTGTGATTTTAAAATAAATGAAGGAAACAAAGTATTTGTGGTTATTTGTTGAATATTTCAAACAATTAAAATCAAAGCTTGCTTGAAATGAAGACGTCTTATGAAAAGAGTCACATTTCAGTTTTATTGTAAAAAGCAAGTTTCCTAAAAAAAGAAAGAATTTTTTGCAAACAAAATAAATGAATATTGCCATGCCAAAAATAGAAAATAACAATTATCTCTTGCAAACAAAATACATTTTAAATACTGTCATGCGATAAGTAGAAAATGACTTGTATCTCTTGTAAATGAATATTATTTTAAATAATGCAATGTGAAAAACAGAAAATAATAACTTGCATCTCCTGTAAATAAATGTTTTAAATAATGAATGTAAATAGAGCCCTGCTGATTAAGAGAAAGAGCAGGGCACCATCTCCGTGATCTTGTCCTGTCATGCTATATGTGCAAGTATTTACTCTAGGTTCTTACTGGCCGTTCACACACAACACGTCTTTGCATCTAAACCCGCGATACGCAGCGCTCAGTAATGGTTTAAAAAGAAAAAAGCGCAGCACAGAACATATCTATGGTGCAGAATGCCTACTCCACCATGTTGCCGTTAAATACAAAATGGGGCATGCCAACTTGCTACTGTAAACAAAAGCTCACAACGCTTGCCCCGCCTCCGGGGTCTTCTGATTGGTCCACTGTTTTGGAACTGACATTGATGAGTGGCGCTGCGTGTAAAAGTTTAAATATTTTTAACATGCCACTCACGTGTGAGACGCTGCAAAAGACGCGAGTGCAGCGGTCATACACAAACGTATAGCGCCGACTACACAGGCGGTAGTAAGTTTTTAAGGGGAAAGTATTAACAGGATTAAAAAACTAAAATAACCGACATGGGAAAATTACGTTGGTTTCGATTTCTTTTCGATTAATTGTCCAGCCCTACCACAATGCATTGGTGGTGTACTTACTCGGAGAGCTGGATGCTGTCTGATCAGCTGCTGCTGTTGCTGCTGGGCTTGCTGTTGTTGTTGTTGCTGCTGCTGCTGCTCCATCATCTGATTGGGCCTCATGTTGGGGTGCATGCCCTGTGCTCCCAAGTGACCTTGACCCAGGCCGTGCATCATAGACTGCTGCATGGACTGATGGGAAAACCTGAAAGATGGTGAAAGTTGAGCTGATTTGTTTTACACTCCTTCAAAGTAGGGTTGTGCAGTATAACGTTACTAAATGAGTATGGGGTAACACTTTAGATTAAATGTGCAATATGTAATATTGATAACTAGTGGTTGAAATAGGTACTGCAGTCCAAATTCAAAACATTGGAGAGAGTTGGTTCTCCCACCCCACCCACATGTAAATACATGTAAATATTTTCAAAATATATACTGCATGTGTGTGTATTTATATATACATAATAAATATACACAGAACACACACATATATTATGTAAACAAAAACTTTTATTTTGGATGCGATTAATCGCGATTAATTGTTTGACAGCACTAATAATAATATAATAAATCAGGAAACTAGATGAGGTAAAATAAACCATGTGTAAGAGTTGACTTTCCGCGAGGGGCTGTCGCGCTGTTTTGTGTTTATTTTATTATTAAAAGTTTTGTGTTCGCCGGTTCCCTCCTCCTCCTTCCCGATCTACAGATGTTGTTACAACACCATTTAAAAAAAATAGTCTTATTCCTCAGAATTAGACTCACAATTGCAAGTTTCTTTCAAAACTGTGAAAAACTCAAAATCTCTCACATTTCAGAATTTATAATCTAAGGGAAAAACAATTGCTATAAAGTTGCAATTTTGTGTTATAAAGTTAGAATTTTGATATAAAAACAAGTAATTCCAAGACATAAAGTCAGAATTGTGAGATATAAACTTATAAAATAAGTTAAGAAAAATAGTTTACGAAAATAGTCTTTTTTCCCTCAGAACTGGACTCACAATTATGAGGTTCTCACAATTCTGAGAAAAAAAAGTCAAAATTGTGAGGAAAAAGTCAGAATTACGTTATAAATGATATACACTGGCAATTGCACGAAAAAAAGCCAATTTATTTCTCGCAATTGTGGATTTATATCATGTAATTCTGAGAAAAAAAATTAAGAATTGTGAGATAAAAAGGTTGCAACTCAATTTTTTATTTATTTAGTGGATTAAATGGACTGCCATATCCACATATTTAAACCATTTACATGCAATCAAGTCAAGCCATAATAATACTTGATGCCACGTCTGCGGTTTTACCACAGAATTGAAGCGGTCTCCCCAGAACACTATTTTGATGGAAGGGACCCCCAGTGGAGGGGAAAACCACAGAAAATACACAATTGTGCTAGTTCTGATTAGCACTTGGGCTGGTTTTGTTTTGCAGACCTGGCAACCCTGTTATTTTATCACCATTTGTTGTTTGCTTGTGGTATTTGAAGCAAGGTTTGGACCCGGAAATGGTGACGCATGATGCCAGACTTCTCCAAATCAAGTCATTAGTACTAAAAATGTGTGGGGCCTCTGCAGTACATGTTTGCCTGAGCAAGCACCACTCATTACAGGACATGCAATAAAATGACAAAGCAGATGAACTAATCAGACAACATAGAAGGAAACCAGGTGTGTTTTTGGTTTGGGGTCTTGATCAGTAAAACCAGACTCACCAGTCTGACCTGTAGCTGATGACGGAGAATCTGCCCCTGAGGCATGCTCTGTGGGGGCTTATAGCCCATCTGGAACTGCTTGTCCATTCCCATCATGTTGCCCATGCCAGCACCCGGCATATTAGCCATGCTGTAGGCGGGACGTGGAGGAATTTTGCCCATAGGACCCCTGGGACGGAAAGGGGGCTCTAAACCGGGGCCTCCTTAAGGGGGTAAAAATACGGGGAAAAAAAGCATAAAAGACAAGTAAAAAAAAATAATAGATGATGTCCTACATGCATATCATGATGCTAAAATTACTGAAACAACTGCTTTATGAGGTTAAACAGTAGAAGAGGTTAAAAGGCATGCACTGACCTGGTGGCAGAGGCTGGTTTTGGGCATACATGCTCATTGGAGGGTAGCCCATCCGGAAAGACAGGTTTGACTGGCCCATGTTTATCAGATCAGGAGCCATGCCCGGCGTGTACTGCATGACTGGGTTGTGCGGCTTGTAGTCCTAAACCACAGGAAATTATAGAAAACTTGATTTGATGACTTTTTAACTCTTTCGCATTCCGCCATTGACAGAATTTTCCAGCTTTGCGTGTGTTCACGGTTATACAGCAGGAGGCGCTATTTCACATCTTCTGAAAGAATATTCCTCTTGACCAAATACCAGGAAATGTGCCATACAAGTAGTCAAATGGTCAAGTGCAAAGACCTCAAGTATGGGTATTTGGACAAGACAGTTGAATACAGAGTCAAAAACATGGGCGGAGAAGCAGGAACAAGCAATTGCATATTTAAGCAAATGCATTTGTGAAATAACATGACCATCAAACAGCATATAAATCAAAACTCCCTAATGTTACGGAGTAAAATGTTGACTCGGGAAGTGGTATAGGACTGTGAAGCTTTGGGGGTTTTGATGGAAGCGATCGACTCCATCTATGGTTTAATCATCACTTTGAATCTGATCAAGACTTAGTCTTTTACAAAAACGTGATTTTTAAAATGTCGCTTTTTATAAAACCTGCCCACAGTGCTGATAAAAAAAATAATGCATGAAGCTAGAATCATTTGTTTGTTTGTTTAAAAGCAGATGCTCTGTTCTCTCTTTTGACATATTGCATGTTCAGATATTTATGGGTCAAAGACATTAAGATGTCCGCATCAAAAGAAATTTACAAAAGTGATTATATGTCCATAGAAAGCATATTAAATGTAAGTAAAGTGTCTACTTTTAAGGTTTCAAATACGTTTTTGGAGAATAAAATGTTAAAATTTGGTTTAAATAATGTTACTGTCATTCAGTGTAGCACAATATTTATGTAAAAATTCAAACAACATGCTTATTCTGACTTGTACATATTAAAATATATAAAAGAATAAGGGAGCATATTCAATTTTATTGTGTTTTGAATGAGTAAAAATTCTTACTGACAAATGGGCAAAACCTAGGATAGTGGCAAATTTTAAAAATGTACTAATTAGTATTTGGGGTGAAAGTAATTAGTCTTTTAATATGTCATAAATTGATTTTTGTTGTAAATATGCCTGACAAGATTGTTACACTGAATGACATTTTAATGGGTCTTTTCTGTAAATCAGGGAAAAATGTATGATATTTATTTTTTGCTCGAAAAAACAAAAACAAAATTGCAATTAAATTAAACAGAAAACTTTTACATTTTTTTGAGGGAAAAACAACAACAATTTAAAGCAGTATTACACTTATTGTTTTTATGCTTAAAACCTTTTTCATCTTTGACCCTTATACAATAAAATACTCTAAGGGACATGAAAATTTTGTGAAAATGATCAAAAATGCTGGCAAGTTTTTTTTTTTCATTTTATAAAAAAAAAAAAAGTATAAACACTAACAGGGAAAGATTAAAGAAGAAAAATACTTCTAAAGGATCTAATAAAAATATACACAGGAAATGCATTTTTTCCCCCTCATATGTACCTCTTGTTTATTTGCAGATGTCTGTTTCTTTTTCTTTTTCTTCTTTGCGGTGTCAGGTGCGACATTAGAGACGCTCTTCTCCGGCTTCCCTGGATCCACCTTCTTGTCCGGCTCAGGAGGCACGGGTGTGGGTGGCTCCTCCTCCTCTTGGGGCAGGTTGAGGGGCGCCAGGTAGTAACTGCGCTGTTTGGGCTTTATGTGAGTGTGGTAAAGCAGGAGCCGCTGCTGCTCCTCATATTTCGTGACTTTGCGGTCGACCCGCACGGACCCAAACCAGCCCCAGGACAGCGGAGCCGAGTACTTCAGGCCCTCGAACACATCCCAAGGGGAAATCTTCTGCTTAGTCGACACCTGAAGACCCTGTATGTGAGAAATCACAGTGCAAAGGTAAGCGAATGGCCAGAAGCTGAGCAGTGCTACAACACTGATAAGCTGCTACGTACCTCTTTTTCGAATCCAGCAATTTTGTTGCCCTTTGTGTCAATGAGTGACCCCTGGGGCTCACAGGTGATGACGTCACGCGTCTGCTTGGGCAGAGGCAGCAACTGACGCACTTTCTCCAAGCTCTCGGACTGACGCTCACCAAGCTCTTTCTGCAGGGCAAAGCATTTCCAGAAGAAAAGTGAGTGTCACTTGCCTGTGCAAAATCACTGCCATGATGATAAAATGTTGCTTATTACAGTTGCTGTAAGTTCTGAGGGGTTCTGTGCAGTTTTAGGTACACTACCATTTAAAAGATTTGGGGTCAGTAAGATGCTTTTGAAAGAAAGCATTCACCAAGCTGCATTTAACTGATTAAAAATACAGTAAAAACAGTAAAATATTATTGCAATTCAAAATAACTGTTTTCTATCTGAATATATCTTAAATGCAATGCAAAGCTGAATTTCCAGCATCATTGTTCCAGTCTTAAGTGTCACATGATCCTTCAGAAATCACTCTAATATGCTGATTTGCTGCTCAAGAAACATTTCTGATTATTATCAGTCGAAAAAAGTTGTGCTGCTTAAGATTTCTGTGAAAGCCATAATAAAAAAGGCAAATGTTTTTTCAGGATACTTTGATGAATAGAAAGCTCAAAAGAACAACACTTATCTGAAATTATTATAAATGTCTGTTACCTTTGAGCAATTTAATGCATCTTTACTGAATAATATGACAGCTTTTTAGTGCCACATAAACAATAAAAAAAAAAATCTAAGATTACGAAATTAAAGTTGTAACATTTTGGGAATAATGTCAAAATATTTTAAGAATAAAGTCATAGCATTATGGGATTAAATTTGTAGTACTTTAAGAATAAAGTTATAACATTTTAAGAATAAAGTCATAGCATTATGAGATTAAAATCATAACATTTTGAGAATAAGGTCTTAATACTTTAAGAAAGTCATAGCAATAAGAATCTAAAGTAGTAACATTTTAAGAAAACAGACGTGTCATTTTGAGAATAATGTAATATTTTGAGAATAAAGTCATATCATTATGGGATTAAAGTCATAACATTTTAAGAATAAAGTCAGCATTATGAGAATAAAGTCATAATATTTTGAGAATAATGTAGGAATATTTTAAGAATAAAGTCATAGCATTATGTGATTAAATGTGTAGTACTTTAAGAATAAAGTTATAACATTTTAAGAATAAAGTCATAGCATTATGAGATTAAAATCATATAGTCATAGCAATACAAGATTAACTACCATAATATTTTAAGTATAAAGTAGAATATTGCGTGAATAAGGTTAATTTATGTGACATTTGCACCACCTACTCCACAAAAAAATGTCTGTAATGTCCAACCTTTCATTCTTCACATGTATTTAACATTAAAAACAAGAATAAAAAGGTTAAACTCGTTAACTTAAGTTACATTGTTGTCTTTTGCAGAGGTAAATAACGTTATGTGACTATTCATATGCTGTTTTATAGACATATAAATGATTGGAAATAATATTTCACATCTTCATGTGCATCAATTATTAATAGCACACCAGCCACCCAATAATCGCAATAAGCTTTGCACTTTAATATAACACAAATTCTCAGCTTTCAAATTCTCTGCGCTCCTTACTGACTTGACTAAGTAAAGCCTATTCCGGCTTTCTAAGCAGTGTCAGTATGTCTCAGTCTCACCCTGAGCTTCTTGACCAGGTTCATGTAGGCCCTCTTATTCTCCTCCATGCTGCCCTGAGAGATGCTGGACATGTCAGCCGCCAGAGTGCCGTTAATCAACACGCTCAGCATGTCTAACACCGTAGTGAAGAGCTCACTAATGGAAAACAACAAACATCATTCAAATTCGACAGCATGGCAAAGGTTGATCAGAGACTGAATGAGGGGAGTGTCAGATCTCACTTGTTAGACTGCATGTCCACTGTGCCACTGCTGATGATGTCCAGCAGAAGCACCGCCCACTCCGTCGTCTGCTGTGTACTTCGCTGCACCGTATCAAACATCCCACCCACCTATAGACCACGTGACACAAAATAACAAATGAGCTCAGTGCAGTTTAACCACATCATGGAAGGGTTGGGTATCATTTGAATTTTACTGATTCTGATTCCGATTCTTATCAATTCCTAGTTTCGATTCCAATAAGATAAAAAAAACATTTAGAAGTCAAATATTTATTCTGTGTCTTTTTGCAAAGCATTCCGTTGCAGCTGAATAACATGAGCAAACACCAGCAGCCTACAGAACACTTACAAGAGGAACTTGTGCTTATGCTTTCAACAAAATACCACAGCAAAAACAACTAGACGTATACATTTCAAATATTCGAGTGTCAAAGACAAGTAAACAGTCAGTAATAAAATAGGAACAAACAAATCAATTAGCATTAGCACAAATAAATATAACTGAACCAAATGTCAGGTACAGAAACTGTAATTAAAAGCTTAAAGTATAGTTTTCTTTTCATAAATAAAATCTAGATTAATTGAAGTTATTAAAGGTATTCAGTCAAGAACAGTGAATGATTTTCTTTTGTTCTTTGATTAACATTATTGACAGGCAGCGCGTTTATTAGGCTGCCGTCTCTTTAACACCGAACGCACACAGATCTGAAAATACTGTAGAAGTGAGTTTTCTTGCTCATCTGTTTACGTTCACTTAAGACAAAAACGGCTGTGTTTATGATGATGTACTGACGCAGTTTTCTGCATACTGGTCGATAAATATGAAAGAAGTCATACTGAGTCAGTGGAAATGCACAGAACGATTCGAGAACGGACACAAACCGGGAACGCTGCACGCAAACAAGGCGCAAGTTCTTTCCGTTCCTGCACTTTAAATCACATTTAAATGCGAATGCAGGAATCGTTAAGCAGAATCGAAATGCACATGTCTTATCGAGTACCCAGTTCTTGGAAATTTCTAAAATGGAACTGGTTTTCGATACCCAACCCTACATCTCGGTGACTTTCATTTGTCTTTTAGGCAGAGTTTAACCCTTAGGCACACAATACAAGGAAATGAGATTGATGAGAGGCAGATCAACACACAGATTGTACTTGTTTGGTCAGCCTGAAGGCAGATGATGTATGAGAGAAAGAGATAACGGTTGCGCACCAGATTGAGTCGCAGCTTCAAGGCCTCGTGCATCATCTGCTTGGCCTTGCAGTCGTCCTGGTACTGGTCCTCACGCCAGTTAGTCACAATCTGATAGGATAGGAATACATCACATCAGTCCACAGAGATGAGGAGCATTGACTGACAGTGACACGGTGTGTGTTGATGAGTTACCTGCTGGACTTGGCTGTAGAGGGAAGTCAGGAGACCCTCTCTCTGCTCGTCTTGTCCTTTGAGACACGTCAGCACCAGAGAGAGGAAGGGCTGCTGGCTCAGGAGAGACATACTGAAAGAGAAAAGAAAACAAAGGAAATGGTAATTCTCGTTAGCACAGTCACACTTGTTAATTATTGTGATAAGCACAAAACAAAAGGCATGCACAAATAGTTTTTTTTTTAAGTTTAAACTCATAAGCTGATGATACACGTGGCAACTTTTTGAGCAATTTTGTCAGGCAACTTTTTTAAGCAATATTTCTTGGGTACTATCCCATTGAGAATGGGTAACAAATTTCTAACTGGATACTTTAGATCGATCATGGGCCCTGTGTCTCACCTGGTTGACAGCAACACCGCCTAAATTTGCCCGGCAACATTGCTCAAAAAGTTGCCCCGTGTATCATCAGCCTTATTGTTAAGTGCTACAAAATATTAATAAGTTATTTAGAATCAAACCTACACTACTGTTCACAAGTTTGGGGTCAGTAAGAGTTTTAGTGAAAGACCCTTCAAATAAACCTTATGTTTCTAGAGGTATTCAAAAGAGGTAAAAACACGTATTTTAATTATTATAATTGATATTTAATAGATGTTAAAATCAAAAGATGTTATATTTTTATATATGTGTGTGATTAAGTATAGTAGTATGATTGTAAAGACATTTATAATGTTCATCAAAGATACTATAACTAAATCACAGTTCAATATTAAGCAGCACAACTGCTTTTCAAATTGATAATAAGAAATCACCATTTTAGAATGATTTCTGAAGGATCACGTGACACTGATGCTGAAAAATCTGCTTTTCATCACAAAAATAAATTACATTTTAAAATATATGAAAATGAAAAAAAATTTTTTAAAGCCTTTGTGAGCATAAGAGATGTCTTTCAAAAACATAAAAAAAATACAGCCAGTCACAAGCTTTTGAATGGTAGTGAATATTTTAAAATGCATTGTGTGTGTGACAGGACAGGGCTGGCCTCTCAGAGGGCAGTATACTTTTGTTGCTTTAAACGAACCAACTTCGTTTAAAAAAACTAGTGAGCAGCATATCTAGTCAATATGTTTAGGTACGTTTGAGGCGCTAAACATCAAGAGAAAAGCAACAGTGTAAATGCTACAGCAGCTTAAAAGTCTAGTACCTTTTTTGTTTCTGCCGATCTCTTTCTTTCCTTGAGGAGGGTCCCAGGTGCTGTCCCTTCTCCAGCTCTTCACCGGCGGCCTTCAACACGTGACCCTGCACTGAGGTGGGCAGCCTACCAATCAGAGGGGCCACTAACCAGACCCCTGAACGCTCGGAGGAACTGGAGGAAACACAACAATAACAACAGTATTTGAGAAACACGCAGGGCACCGCTCTCTTCTTACAGCATAGACACATTGATAGGAACATTGATTGGTGTTGTTTGAAGAAGAGAAGGCCGGTCCATCAATTCCATCAAGCTGAAAGTAAATAAAACACAGAGCAATGATTGGGGTCACCGACCTGAGCACAGGTTTGAGTTTGCTGGCACTGTTGCTATTGGAGACGGAGCTGCCAGAAACCGCAGAGCCATTCCAGGTGGGGTTACTAGAGTTCATCTCAGCAGACTTCTGGAAAACCTCAATGGTGGCCTTGGCTATGTTCTCCAGAAGAGAATACAGCTCCTGCAAAGAGTGGGTTCAGATGTACAAATCTTAAAGAAAAGAAGAGAAATTGTCAAGCGGAGATGAACTCAGCAAACACGCTTCGGCTTACGTTATTCGAGCTTTGCTTGATCATGAGCTGCAGCTCGAGAGAGGACTGTCTCATGGTCCACTGGTCCATGTTCTGTAAGCAGAAAAACAGACGGAATATGGAAAGAATGCTTTTAAAGCAATCAAAGCAGAGCTTAAGAGCCCCAGCTGGATGTTAATTGCGAGGGGCCCCATCTTCACAGTCTATTAAGATGAAAACCAATCCAGAATAATGAGCTGCTGTGAGACCCACACAAATCATTAATGGCTTAAAGGCTAAAGGGTGTGAAATGAATAATTAAGCTCGGGGAAATGACTGTCTGTTCATCCTCTGCTGCTCTTCCATCGCTAACAGCGATGTCTAAAACACCCTTCATGTGCGCAGGCCTGGTCTACTGGGTTTTAAAGCTGAAATGTATATGTTCTGCACTGAGAGCATCACCAAATGGAACTGCAAAATCAATGACTGTTTTCAAACAGGTTTTCAGAACACTCCTCCCTAAATGTGTATAAATATAATATATTGCAGTGTTTTCCCACAATTCTGTCTGACTATGGTGGGTGGACACCAAACCATCTAAAAGTTAGAAAATCCCTTATCAGTTTGTTTGCAGTGCTTTAAAGTGGTCTAAAAACTCTTTTTTTGTTGTGACAGTGTCAGTCCACATCACATTCTTTTGTATTATTTTATAATAATAAAATTACATTTAAATATCACAGCACATGCAGAGACTGAGTTTTCTGCATTTACTGTGAACCGAGCTGCTCTGGGACACATTAAAATATATAGCCTAATTAATTTTATTTATTCACTTTTTAACGCCATGTTAACATCAAGGCTATTTTCATGGCGATCTCTGAATAAATTATACAAGGTATACAATTCACAAAAGATTCTAAAAGACATTTCAGATGTACACTAGACGAAAATTCTAAAATACATTCAGGTGATACATTTTTAAATAAATCAGTTAGACACACCTCTGAATAAAACCATTGTCTATTTACATTAAAAACAGTGCAATCCAATAAAATGTTTCACAGTCATTTTAGTTTGGCAGCCTAATTTATTAAATGCTAGATACTTTGCCAAAGCAACAGCGAAAAACACAATGTTAGAGGTCTTTTGTTATTATACTGGTTCAGTATGAAACTGTGGTGGGACAGATTAGGCCATATGTTGATTAACTGATTTATTTATTTTTTTTTAGCATATTGATCAATTGTGTGGTGTATTTATTTTTTTTTTTTAGATCAGTGCTTGTTCTGGTTGATCATGTGATCTCCTAATTCATCATGTGATTTCTTAAATCAGGATGGCTCCTAGTTCCAACATTGTTAACTTGGCATTGAAAATGGTCAACATGTGACCGAAAAGTTTGCCTTGTTTTTTCAGTAAATTGCTTACACTGCTTTCATCTCGCTTGTGACTTATTGATTTTTTGGGAGTGTGCATACTCTACTTTTTGGGGCAGATTAGGCCGCCATGGTCTAGGTAATTAAAGGGAAACATTGTACAACTTAAATAATTAAAGTAATATTTAAATTTATTTAAACTAATAGTTTAGATGTAATGTGAAAATCTAAAAATTAATTAAAAATTAAAATACTACTATAAAAAGCTTCGTCAGCTCAGGAGCAGATGTTCTGATGGGGTCATGTGAGAGCGTGTGACCTGCAGGATCCGTTTGATGCGCTGTCTCTGAGGATTCTCGCCCTCCTCGCTGTCTAGCTGCCTGTGTGGGTAACAGATGAGCTGCAGCAAGCGCTGAGCCTGGATGTTCACCAGCACTGGATCCTGCAGAGCACTGCTGTCCTCCGACAGAGACTTCAGACACCGCTCACCCACCCACTCCTGAACCAGAGAGAAAATACAGCTAAATTAAATCTTAAGCGAAAGAAAAAAGTTAAATTTTTAAACTGGAAGGGAGCAGTGTGCTGCTGATCTTGATCACTTTTAGAGTGAATCAAGTCTGGCAGAAACAATTTTGGGTAATAGTGAGGGCACAGGTGTTTCTATCTTCACAACTTTAATCTATACTGATATTAAAAATAGGGATTATAACAGCTAAAATTCCTCCAAGGATGAGAATATGATTCTCTTAAAACCCTCACCTGTTGGCAGATGCTCTTCAGCACATACTTGGCGTAAACCACCAGACTGGCCGTTTCAATCGAGACATTACGTCCTCCGGATTTTTTGGACCCCATGTCATCCTCTCCGATGTCGTCCAATCCAGCAGAGTGGGAGAAGCCCGAACCCTTCAGCTCAGCGTCTCCTGGAGAAATAAGCACAAAGTCACAGTTTTTAGGGACCAATCAATTCTGAATGCATAAACTGCCAGCTGGGTCCCATTAGCTCCATCTCCCACTACAACTGGCTTTCTTCTCCTTTACTAAATCATTTCATGCCTTTTCTGGTCTTCTTGTGTTGTTTTCCAATTACTGGATATAGTTAAATCTTCTGGATGATCATCAAGACATTTTAATGGAATAGTTCACTGAAAAATTTAAATTTGATGAAAACGTACTCATCCTCAGGCGATTCAAGACGAGTTTGTTTCTTCATCATATTTGGAGAAATGTAGCATTGCATCACGGCAAACACGGCTCCCACCACAATGCTGTTCTGAGAAGCAGCCAGCAGGTGTCGGTCGCAGGACGATCTGATGCCCACTGTGGATTTGTCTGAAGACAGAAATATTATTCTCAGGTTTATAGTTACTGTCTAGAGTTGTTCAGGTGGGATGTGTAAAAGAGAGTGTGATTTACTTTATTTGGAGGGAGCTGTTACCTGATTTGGTGCCGTCTTGAGGACAGGGGTTGCGCTGTGGGGTTCTGAACAGATGAAGCAGGATCCTACATGTCAGTCTGGCTCCAGGTTCAGAATCCTGCTCACTACAGGCTGAACACACACACACACAAGGTTCTGAACAGATGAAGAAGGATCCTACATGTCAGTCTGGCTCCAGGTTCAGAATCCTGCTCACTACAGGCTGAACACACACACACACAAACGAACATGTCACAACCAGCGTCTTCCATAAAAAGTCACTGACCTCAGAATATGACCCCATCATTTCTGGCTCACAGCTGTGTGAACGCAGTACAAACAGAATGAGCCGATCACAATCCTGTATCCTGCCAGACAGACAGACCACCTGTGACTCAAACGAGCAGGATAAATAAACACCCGGGCAAAAGAATCCTTTGATGTACCCAGAAGGATCTTCAGAATTGATTTAAGGTGTTGGTTCAACCAAACACAAACACGTTGTCATGAATTGTCTCATGTTGTTCCAAACCGAATGACACAAATGTGACCCTGGAGCACAAAAGCAGTCTTAAGTCGCTGGGGTATATTTGTAGCAATAGCCAAAAATACATTGTATGGGTCAAAATTATCTATTTTTCTTTTATGCCAAAAATCATTAGGATATTAAGTAAAGATCATGTTCCATGAAAATATTTTGTAAATTTCCTACTGTAAATATATTAAAACTTAATTTTTGTTTAGTAATATGCATTGCTAAGAACTTCATTTGGACAACTTTAAAGGCAATTTTCTCAATATTTAGATTTTTTTGCACCCTCAGATTCCAGATTTTCAAATAGTTGTATCTCGGCCAAATGTTGTCCTATCATAACAAACCATACATCAATGGAAAGCTGATTTATTCAGCTTTCAGATCATGTATAAATCTCAATTTCGAAAAATTGACCCTTATGACTGGTTTTGTGGTCCAGGTTCACAAATGTTGAAAAATGTACACAGAAGGTAGACAGATAGAGCTAATCAAATACAGTAAATGGAACCTCAAACATGTTTGTGATGAGAACAAACCTCTTTGATTCAAGCATGTCAAGCAAGTTAGAGCTCATCAAAAATTATAAATGGAAGCTCAATGTGTGTGTGTGTGCCGATTAATGTTTATATGTGAATAAAAGACTAGCCTAAATTAAATCTGTTCATCATATAAAGTGATTCTCATGGAATCCTCTCACGATGTCTTTATTAATTTTTTCAAATTTTGGTTGCATAAGCATTCGATGGTTGGACAAAAATGATTTGAGAATATTAAAACTACATTTCTGTTTGAAAGATGTATACAAGTCTTATGGTTTGAAATGACGTGAGGGTGAGTAAATGAATTGAGTAAATGAGTAAAATATTTATTTTTTATTTTTGGGTGAACTATCCCTTTAAATTCTTGCACATGGTTCTCGGATGGTTTCAGAAGACTTGAAAGGTAGCGCACAAGTTATATGGACTATTTTTATGAATTTTGCCAATTTTGAAGTTCAGAAGCTCCATTGTGAGAACAAGTTTGGAATGATATGAAGGTTGAGTAAACAATGAAAATTTAAATTCAAATTACATTTAAAAACAAATAACAGGAACACAAGAGTTAATGTGATTGCAAGGTGTGCAAGACAAGGTGTGATTGCCATATTTCAGTGAGATTATTAAATTATCATTTGCTTTAGAGGAAACCTTGAATGGAACAGAATCCCACCAGAAAATAAAAAGTTATTGTGGATTCTCTAAAAAACAAAACAAAAAAAAAGGTTGTTGTCAAATCAAAATTGTGAACATTTATAGGGAGTTTAGAGTTTAAAGGGGTCATATGATGCGATTTCAAGTTTTTCGTTCTCTTTGGAGTGTTACAAACTGATTGTGCATAGATAAGATCCCTGAAGTTGCAAAGACTAAAGACTCAAAACCAAAGAGATATTCTTTATCAAAGTTAAGACTCTGCCACGCCCCCCTAAAACGGCTCGTTCTAACACGCCCCCACATATCTACCTCACTATGTGGAAATATTAGCATAATGCCGCCCAAATGTGCACGCAAAGAAAGAAGGCATGGTTTCAGTAACAGCAGTTAGTGTTGACATTTATTTTGAAAGATGAAGCTCGTGATTATGGTAAGGGGCGTTACATTTCCGACAGGTGCTTGTGGTGTTCGGCCAATCACAGTGCACTGGGTCAGCTGGCCAATCAGAGCGGACTGCGCTTGTCAAAGGAGGGGGCTTTGTAGAAAACGAAGCGTTTGAGAGAGGCGGGGCATAGAGGACCTACAATAATGTACAGTATTTGAAAAATAATGTGTTTTTTGAACATTAAAGCATGTCAACATATTCTGTTACACCAAATACACAAAATAATGATCTTTAAAAAAGCATCATATGACCCCTTTAAATTTGGCATTTAAGTATTGATTTCTTGGTAACACTTGGTAAGGCCATTATGTACAATGCATTCTAAAAGTATTCATAATGCAGCTTGTAATGCATTATATATTTTCATAAATAATTGTAACTAAAGTTAAAATGCATTATAATATTTGAATGTTTGACTGCCATGCATTTTAATGTATTATCCTTTCTAACAACGAATAGCTAAATGTTATAATGTATTGTAATATTATAATGTAAACAACTTTGGTTTCAATTATTCATGAGATCATACAACATATTACAAGGTGCATTACAAGGCATAATTAATGCATTAAAACTACTTTTATAATGCATTGCATACAAAGGCGTTTGCAAATGCATTGCAAAAAAGTGTTATCGATTTTTTTTCAACATCAACCTGCCCTGGGACTACAGATGAAAATGATCCACCCTGTCTAAATCTGGCACATTTTATAACAACTTTAAGTGACGTAAGTAAGTGAGTGACGTGACGTGGCCAAGTATGGTGACCCATACTTGGAATTAGTGCTCTGCATTTATCCCATCCAAAGTGCACACACACAGCAGTGAACACACACACACCGTGAACACACACCCGGAGCAGTGGGCAGCCATTTTTGCTGCGGCGCCCGGGGAACAGTTGGGGGTTCGGTGCCTTGCTCAAGGGCACCTCAGTCGTGGTATTGAAGGTGGGAGAGAGCGCTGTACATTCACTCCCCCCACCTACAATCCCTGCCGGTACGAGACTCGAACCCGCAACCTTTGGGTTACGAGTCCGACTCTCTAACCATTAGGCCACGACTTTCCCACAGTATTATGGGAAATTTTATTATTATGTATTACTAATGTGCATTGTCCTTGATTAAATAAACACATTTTTAAAAAGAGACCGAGAAAGGAATATAACCGTATGCAGTGACTGTGTCTGTATGGCAGGAATACTGTGGGACATCAACTGAAAGAGCCATACCTGCATTCAGGAGGGAGGGAATGGCCACACAGCGCACCAGATCCTCCAGTAACAAACACTGCCGAGCTATCAGGATGGCAACGAATGTCGCCAGTGAGTCATGGAAAGACAGATCACTCACCTGCCAAAGAAAAAACATTCAATTACCACCAGGAACATCTAGTACAGCTAGCCTATTTAAAGGGATAGTTCACCCAAAAATAAAAATTTGCTGTTAATTTAGTCACTCTCAGGCCATCCAAGACAGTAAAGAAGATTCTTAGCTGAAACTGTAGTCCTTGGTGATTCATAAAATGCAAGTCAACAGCTACCTGTCTTTGGGAATTAAAAAAATAAATAAATAAAAGGCAATCCGTGGCTCCTGGCGATATATTGAGTTCTTATGAAGTGAAATGATTGGTCTGTGCAAGAAACTGAACATCATTTACAACATCATTACCTGTAATCCCTGAGACAGGGAAATCTGATTCTTTTACGCAAACTTTTTTTTGGGACAGTTCGTTTCAATGAAATTTGTTCAATTCACTAGTTCGTTTATGTAACCACACAATGACGTAACGTATATGCAATAATATATGACCCGTGCTGGCAAAACGCGCACGGTCTAATTTTGAGCTACAGGCAAAAGAAGTGAAAAATGTCAGTTTTGGTCGAATTTGAGGTTTTCACAAAAATGAGTTCATTAAGCCCTCTTCTAGCAATTCCTATGCTCCAAATAGTAATTAAACACCTAAAATGATTTTTATTAGTACATTCCAGCTTTGTGAATATTCATATCGAATTCTCTATGACATGAGTCCAAACCAGTGAAATATGATTTTCAAACCCATGCTGATGAAAACAAAACGATCGCGCTGACTGACATTTGCAAAGCGCGTGCATAAGACGCGATCTCCCTAAAGTACATTATTGCCAAATATGTCTTGGCGAGATCCACACAAACATAATCTGTTATGTCTTACATGAACATTTCGTTAATGCTTGGGGGAAAATCTGATGTGTAACATTATATTAGATCCATGCATTACAGTAGGTCTTAATCTACATCTGTCTCAATGTTAATCATACATTAAAAGAAAAGACAGAATCACTCGCTGCTCTTGATTAAACTACTGGTTATTTGCATCTTTGTTCTTATTTTTAATAACAAAGATAAAATAAGAAATAGCTATATTGTGAATAATAATATAGTAATTGTTATCAAGAAAAGAATTGGAGGAAAATATGCAATGTTGCTAGGTGATTTTGCTTTAACTCGATTTTTCTCTAAATCAACTCTGCTGACTCTATTGCATTCAAACGGCTGTCCAACAAGTCATATTGAAGGTATTATTAATGGAGAATGTGAAAATAAAAAGAACTCATTTTTGAAAATGTGCTCATTCCGACTCATTTTGCCAGCACGTGTCACATATTATTAAAGCACCCAATAATGGTGTGAAATGTGGATGTTTTACATGTCTGAAGCAAATAAAGTGAATAAACTAATCTGAACGAGTTCATTCATCACAGGATCAGATACGCCGCTATTTCGGCTCATTTCCAGTCAGAGTGAGTTTTGATTGAGTAACTTGTAGATCTGTGCTGCTGGAGCCGCGAACTGTTTCAGACGCTTCAGACTGATTTGGAGAACTGAATCAACTCGTTCACCAAAAAGCTAAAAACCGGTTCAAAAGAATAATTTGTTCGTGAACCAAACATCACTCCAGACCGTTTGCCTGAGGCTCTGGATTACAGGTAATAATGTTGTAAATAATGTTCAGTTTCTTGCACAGACCAATCGTTTCGCTTCATAAGACCTCAATATATCACCAGGAGCCACAGGTATTAATTTTTTGTTCCTTGATATACTTTTTTTCTCTCAATAATTGGTAGCCGCTGACTTGCATTTTATTAATTGCCAAGGACCAGGTTTCAGCTAAAAACTTCTTTACTGTTATACTGAAGAAAAAAAGTCACCTAAATCTTGGATGGCCTGAGGGTGAGTAAATTGACAGCAATTTTTCATTTTTGGGTGAACTATCCCTTTAAGACACCTACACATTTCACCAATCATCCATTGACTTGAGAAACATCTAGTTAACAAGAGCAACTACTAGGCATTTAGTGGTAACCTTGATAATGCAGTATTTTCATAGACAAGTAAAAAAAATTGAAACATGTTTTAGTCAGCACAAATAATAGTTAAAATGAGATCACATGGCTACAACAGATTAGCCGTCAAAGCAACAGATGAAAGCCGACTCACATCAACGTTGCAGAGCAGATCATTGAAGCCACAGTTGCCGTTGTTGGAAGAGCAGCAGAGAGCCTTGAGCACTCCCAACCACTCAGCGCTGAGAGAGCGACAGTACGCCGTCAGCTCCGCGCACAGGATCCCGATATCATTCACCCTGAAACAAACCACACAGCATTTGCTAACCGCAGGAGAGCAGGCGCAGTTACAGATGCCATGCAGCTGTTCTGCTATTACTGAAGATGCTTACGGAGAATAATGCGACAGGACCCAGGGCAGTGTTTATATAGATCATCTCGGTCATTTTTATGATAGCAGCACATTTTAATGATTTAAATGTTATTTTTTAATTGGCCATGAAGTTTACTAAAGTCTAAATAGACAATTTTTGTCTTGAAGTGTTAAAGACAGATGTTACTCTATTCTACAATTTAAACTTTGGTAGTAAAATGGTATACATTTTTTTTTTTTTTAAACATAAAATGATCTTTGATTGTTAATAGCTACCATAAACTGCCTACAGGCTAAGTAACTGGAATATTTTACCTATTGATTATTACTGCTTATCTGGTCATTATTAACTGAACACTGGTCTGTTTTCTCATATTGCGGTTTAAAAAAAAATTAAAGGCTTATTTTTCAAAACCAGTTTTATTTTATTTATATGAATAATATTATATAATTTATAATATATTCACTTATAATACAACATAATATTTATATATTATATAATATTTAATAAATATTATTTAAATACTACTTTCTATTAATATTCTGAATTCACTTTTATTTGTAGTTATTTAGATTAGTATAGTTATATTATTGTTTGTATTTTCAATTTTCTTTTTAGTTTGTTTAATGTGCTTTTGTCAATCTTATTGTTTTTTAATATTACTATTTGGGTTTAATTTATTTTTAAGTTTTATTTTCAGTTAGTTTCTAATTTTCGTTAAATTTTTCATCTATCACTTACATTTTGCTTTTTTTCCCCCCAATTATAAAATGTTTGTAATCATTTTAAACATAAATCAACTGAATCAGATGCCTACCTCTCGGGATCCCGGTGGTCCACACACACGTCCATAAGCACGTTACACACGAAGCTGTATCGGTTGGCTGGGCTGTCATTGAGGATCTTTCCCACCATAGAGTGGTTGAGGTTGTGTGCGGTAGGATTAGCGATAGCGTCGATCATGAACATCTGATCCCACAGCATGTTGGAGTCTGATGGGTCGATGTTATAGTAGATGGAATTCTTCACCTTTGAGCAGAACTCACTGTGGGAATTCACACGAAACCAGACACCATTAGAGATCAGGAATATGGGGAAATACTTACAAAGCAGCATGGATTCGTTGCTCTCACCTGAAAATCTCCCCAAACTTGCTCTTCAGGTGACTGCAGGAGGTATAGAGGTCGTAGAGATAGGCCAGGATACAGCGTTCGGCTGAGGAACAGTCTGCAGGATTCACGCCAGACTTGACTACAATCCGCAGCCTGCCAAGAATGATACGAGATATTCATTACTGTCCAAATAGCTTAAAGGAGAAGTTCACTTCCAGAATAAAAATGTCCTGATAATTTACTCACCCCCATGTCATCCAAGATGTTCACGTCTTTCTTTCTTCCGTCACAAAGAAATTAAGGTTTTTGAGGAAAACATTCTCCATATAGTGGACTTCTATGGTGGTCAATGATTTGAAGGTCCAAATTGCAGTCAATGCAGCTTCAAAGAGCTCTACACGATCCCAGCCGAGGAATAAAGGGTCTTATCTAGCGAAACAATTGGTCATTTTCTTAAAAAAATATATTTATACACATTTTTTAACAACAAATGCTTGGCTAGCATTAGCTCTGCGATGTGCGTCTTTATCAGGTGATGTTGGACAGGTCACGTGCCAACATGCAAAAAAAAAAAGTAAAATGCCCTTTACAAAAAAGGTAAAACAGCGATGTTGGAGCACTTTAAAGTTGGAGGACAAAATGAGATGGAGTTTTTAACAGAAGAACACTGACGAAGAACTAACTGCGCGTAACCTTTCCAACAGGATTAGGACGCACATCGCAGAGCTAATGCTAGCCGAGCATTTGTGGTTAAAAAATGTGTATAAATAGATTTTTTTAAGAAAATGACCAATTGTTTCGCTAGATAAGACCCTTATTCCTCGGCTGGGATCGTGTAGAGCTCTTTGAAGCTGCATTGATTGTAATTTGGACCTTCAAATAGTTGACCTCCATAGAAGTCCACTATATAGAGAAAAATCCTGGAATGTTTTCCCCAAAAACCTTAATTTCTTTGCGACTGAATAAAGAAAGACATGAACATCTTGGATGACATTGGGAGTAAATTATCAGAAAATGTTTATTCTGGAAGTGAACTTATCCTTTAATGTCATTCCAAAAAAAATATGTGACAGCACTATCCTATCGAGTGGCGGACATGAATATGACGTACCCATCGAAGACCTGTGCGGTCTGGTCAGGGTTGAGGATGAGGCAGGAATGGTATCTCCGCAAAACGGCCACAATGCACAGACAGAGACTTGTAGTGTAACTGCCCGCTAGGTTGGAGGACTTCAGCAGGAGTTCTGCTTCCACCAGACTCAACTCATTCAGCAGCTACATGACACCACACATACTGAAGTTAATCACTTATAGACAAAGCAATAATACTTTTCTTTTACAAGCATTATATTAAACAAGAGAGAACATCTAGACCACCAAACGTCCAACAGCACATTACAGACTATTTTAATGCATTCATATGACCCCAAACAGAAAGTCAGAGATCATATTTTGGGATCAGCTGTCATACCTGTATAGCAAAGTCAATGAGGCCACTTATATTGAGCGAATACTCCATGAGGTCAAAGATGAACTGGATGTGTTGGACCAGTGGGAGGTGGTAGGACATCCCTAAGGCAAAGCTGGTGATCTGTTCCAGAACATTCCTGGACACCTGTGAGAAACCAAACACACCAGTATAACCCATCTGAATGACATCTGAACGCTAATGAGATTTGCAGACGGTCATGATTTACAGTGAATTTAAATCAGTAGGCTTGAATACACTATACAAATGTTGCCCAGGTGTACAGTCTGGAAATTCAGAGCCAGTCTGCAGATATTGGGCTGTTGGAATCAACATATTTTGTGGACAACATACACAACATGATGTAGAAGATCATGTTGTGTATACAGTATGTTGGGCACAGACTCTTGATTTTTTTTTTTTTTTTAGCTCCAGACAATGATTATATCCAGTTGGAGGAGATCAAACATATTTGACATTTTGAAATGATTTTAGAATACAATGTTTCATTGCAACGATGCGATGGTTCTATGTGATTCTGTTGCATTCGGAATGACTAGAAAGTCTGGTTGTGTGATCCCTAGTTGTTCAGTGTACGATTCCCAGTTTTTCTTCTGTAACCATTTACAAAGTTGGCAAGTGTATGATGCCTAATATTTAAAAAATGGTTTAGAATTTAACATCTGTGTATTTTCTTCAGGCTTCAGTGCGGTTTAGGCAATCCTAACAGAGCTCACTGACATACAGAACTCTTAAAGGCACAGTAGCAAAAACAACCTGTCAAGGCATAGTCACATTTTCCATAGCTTGGCAAAATTTTGCTGGCAAATCCAGTCATTTCAATAGGAATCTATGAGATTAGGAGTTTCATGTGAGGACAAAACTTTTCCCTAAGCAGGTATCACTCATGTTCAAGCTGGTCACACAAATCTGCCACACTGACCAACAGAAAGCTGATTGGTGGACCTTCTTGCGAATCTTTTGAGATCTTAAGTTATACATGTACTCATCTGTATTTTGTTTTGAAAATGGTTATCTTTTAAAATGCGTTATAAATAAAGAATCAAAAGAAAGAAAGAAAGCGAGCTGACTGGTTGATAGTACAATTTGGAAATTTGGATTTGCCTCATTTAAATCATATTTGAATCTGCATCATTGATTGTGTTAGTTTCCTGTTTAATACTGTGAATCTGTGAAGCGCAACTTCTGTGTGAGAATTTGCTACATGCATTGCTACACTTTTGAGAATAGACCTTTATTTGCCGCAAAATGCAGCTGAGATTTTGCTAATGTGACCAGCTGCACATTTAGAGTCAGAGAGGGGGGGGGGACTGCTTTTGGTGCAATAAACTTAAATGCACATTATTAGTGCTGCAAAAGTGTCTCACAGTTGAGTCTTTTGAAATCTACTCCACTGTCTGAGAGCGTGATCAATGCATATGCACTACCTAGTGAACCCTTCTATTTAAGCAAAATAAGTATATGTTGGGTTTCATTGATGGAAGTCAGGCTGACCTGAGAGGTGACCTGGTGCTGGTCAAAGTGTGAGAGGTGCTGGAATTTAGAGAAAATGTCCTCAGCGGTGGGAAAAGCCTCTGGTTTACTCCTCTTCCTCTTCTGACCTTCCTCACCTCCTGAGGACAGAAAACAAAAGACAAAGATCAATGAATAGACAGCACACATGAGAGAGAGAGAGAGAGCGAGCCCTTAGAGGATTTCAATCAGATGAAATACAGATATTGTTATTGAAGTATAAAGTGCTCTCATCCAGCATCCATCAGTCAACCACTGTCTGAGGCCACTCCGTCAAACACTTTTTCAGATTAAAAGCTCCTGGACCGGTGACTTATTCACGCACAGAGTTGCCACGGGGTGACGGGTTAGTGTTTTTGCCGTGCTTGAAATATTAATAACTGTGGGTTGAGCCGTTTAATGTCTCAGGCTGCTGCGAGGGATATAATGGGATGTTCAATTACACCTCCATTAAAAAATGAAAGCAAATGCAGGGCTGCACTTTCTGACTGAGTCGGCAGCTAAGCTTGAATATAATAGACCATGATTGCTATTAGCATCGAGATGGGGTTACAGCTATGAATATTCAATGACAGCAACAGAGGTTCAGTGCTATGAAAGGCTGTTAATAATGGAGAAAAAAATGGGAAAAAAAGACTAATGTAATTGAGCATTAATGATGAACGGTCTCTATTCGGCCCTCGAGGAGAGACGGCGATCTAAATGTGTCACTCAGAGCCAAAAGGTGAAGCTAAAGCACACAACTGCAGTCAAGACTGATTGTGACTGAAAATGGTTTGTTACATACCACAGCAATAAAAGGGAGCATAAAGATCTCAGTAAACAATAGTTTGGTTGCTAAAAAGTTGCAAAAAAGATTCTTCAAATAAGTGAAATTTTGTGTTTGACAGACAAAATAACAGCATACTGGTTTCTAGCAACATGAGGGTTAATAAATGACTTTGATTCCTTTGCAAATAAATTTCCAGAGGAATGAGTAATACAGTCATCCAAATCTGTCGGTTTGAGTTGTGTTCATCGCCGCACCTGTCTCTGCTGTACTCTTGCGGTTGAGAACCTTCAGGATGTCTTTGGTGATCTTCTTGATGGCGTGGCGAGCTTCATCTCGCTGTTTGCCAACCCCATAGAGAACCACCAGACGCTGGTTACACTCGTGACTTGCGCTCTCCTCCTGAAAAACAACCAGTTTAGTCACATACACTACAATTCAAAACTTTGGGATTGGTAAGATTTTTTAAAGGGTGGTGGGGGGGGGTCTAATGCTATTTCATGCATTCTGAGTTATCCACACTGTTAAAGAGTTGGATTGTCATGCTAAACATGGCCAAAGTTTCAAAAAACGATTGGGATGTATGATGGAGTAATTCTGTGTCAAATACACTCCTTCCAGGTTCGTATAAGTTTCAGAAAGTTTTTTTCGAGCATGGCCCTCCATGATATCAGCGCACACACACATTAACCATCGGCAGCGCTGCACAGGACTTGCTCAAGAAAAATGTCTCTAAAAGGAGTGTGTTTTTGGATGTGAGGGAAAGATAATCTTGTTCTGCTTCCCAAAGAACCCAGAGTTACGTGAACAGTGGATGCAGTTTGTTTTCCCAGGGTGAGCAACGGATTTAAGGCACTGGATTTGCACATAGTTTGATACCGAAAGATGGAGCGGTCCCAGCGATAAAAGATCGCGGTCATGAGTCGCAGACGGTAAGTGAAACCGCATCAAATTTCTGTGTTTTGTTGGCAAGCGGCGTGCAAGTGCTCGTGACTAGTGGTCGACCGATATATTGCCAAGGCCGATATATCGGCCGATATTTGGCATTTTTCAAATATCGGCATCGGCCGATAAGTTTTCCTGTTTGGCCGATGCGTTCGACGCGGGACTTTTATTTTGACGGCGCTGAGAGCGGCAGCGCTTGCGCGCACAGTGCTCACATTCTCCCTCTTGTTCGCCGTCGTCGTTAACAGTTCTGTCTAATACGGATAGAAGTCTGTCTAATAATCAGATAGAACTGTTAAACAAAGGAATTAAAATATATACAAAAAGTATTATAACGATTGCTTTTATATTATTAGTAATAGTGGGTCACAGAGTGGGACAAGGTGGGTCGCACAAAGTCACTTGACTGCAGCTAAATTTGAGTTTCAAAGACACACACGCTCACACAGTTCAGTCTAGGGCTGCACGATATTCCAGCATCAATTACGAATTGCAATATTCTTAGTGCGATTTTTGAATCGCAATTAAGTCCGCGATTTAAAACGTGCATTGCGTGTTTTAAAGTGCGGGCGCGCACGAGTTGTAATAACAGTAAGGGTCTCAGAGCGACGTCATTATTAAAAGGCTCGATCGGTCCACATTATTAATAGGAAGAAACTCGCTCACTTCACTGCGCTGTATATTCTGCATGAGATTGCATCCACTGAAAATTCAAATGTTGCGAAAACTGTTTCAGGTATGTTAATTCATTTCTATCGTCTGTTTGAACTCAGCGCTGTTTTCTTTCCTTATGCATTTGGCTACCTACCAATAAGGAAACTGTCTGTAAAAAGCATTTCACATGTACAGGCCGAGTGGTGCACAAACGGGGGGTTAATTGTAACACTACGCAATTTAAACATTTCCACACGCTAGCATAACAATATTTCCTTGCCATATCATCTCTATATAGAGAAAAATGTGCCAAAGTTCAAAAATCTTTTGAAGATATCGCTGAACATTTATTTAACCATTGCAAAAGTACATTTCTGACTGAAGTAAATTTGTCATCTCAGTTTTTAGTGTTTATTTAAAATGAGACA